CCCTCCCTCCCTCCCTCCCTCCTTCCTTCCTTCCTTCCTTCCTTCACCCCACTTCCTCCCTCTCTTCCTCCTTTCTTTCTTCCTCCTCCGTCCCTCTTGCTTTCTCTCCTCCCTTCCTCCCTCCCTCCCATCTTCCTTTCTCCCCCCCCACTCCTTTCCCGTCCCCACTTCCTTTGAGGCCAAACTTAACTCTAGACTCCTGCTTCCACTTTCCAAGTTCTAGAACTACGCTCCACACCCAGCTGAGTGTACCATCCTGAACTTGAGCCTATGACCCTCGGGAGCCAGCTGGCATTGCAGAGAGCAGAGGTGCACAACAAGCCTTCAGCAGGGAGGACACTCCACATCAAGCCACAGACCTCCATGCTAAATGAATGGGGTGGCTTGTTATGGAGCTACAGCTTCAGTATGATTTGAGTGTCTCCTAGTTTTCCTGTGTTGAAATTTCATTTCCGTTGTGAGGTGCTGAGAAGGTGGGAATTCAATCTGACTGCAGTGTTTGGTGGTGGGGCCTTGGGGCAGGTGATTAGGATCACATAGGACCCCATGGTTGAGCATTGATATCTACAAGAGGAGGGTGAGGAAAGACTAGACATGTGGGTTTCTTGTCCTGCTTTGTGATGCTCTGTGTAGTGGAGACTCTGCCAATAATAAAATATCTCCAGATACTTCAAAACAGACCACTTTCTTTATAAGTCTTCCAGCCGCAGGTATTTTGCTATAGTAATGCAAAATGAACAAATACAATAGCAATAGGAAACAAACAGTCCACTCTTCCTCTTCCACTAAAGCTACATAGAGGTCTTGGGGTCTCTGCTAGGCAACAAAAAGACTCTGATACTCATGCTCCTGCTGATGATCAGGTCTCCTGCTGCCCTGTTCCTCTGGCACCTTTGGGGTTTCCAAATCTTCTAATGGGCTGGGAACCCCATGACACTACTCCTTTAAAGTCTAGTCATCCCATTCCCACCCCACCTCCAAATTGGCTGATGAGATATTCTGCCAGGATTTCTAGAGTGGTTCTTCTCACCTCCTTCAGAACTCCTGGAACTCTCTGGAACTGCCCAAAGGATTTTGCACCAGATGGAGTCTCTCACTAGAAGCATCTGCCTTGGCAAAATGCCCCAGGCAACGCTGGAGGAGAGGGGGTGGCAGTGCCGGGAGAGCCAGCATTCCAGGAAACAAGTGACCCAGGTCTACATTTATCCAGGATTGTCCCTGAGGATTCCAGACACTGTGTGGAGTGCTGGGATACAGGGCCTAGAGACCAGACAAGAGGGGCATGCATGCCTGCCCCATTTGACTGTGTTTCAGTATAGAAACACCTAAGAGTCCCTGCCTAACTGGCTCAAACCCAGATTCAAGGGGACTCAAGCCTCCTGACTGCTTTGTCCTCCTGGGGGTATGCCCTGCCCCAGGTATGCACCCCCTAGAAGCAGAGGCAAGTGCTGGCCATAGGCAGGGCAGTGGAGTTTGGACAGATGGGCTGGGTCCACATGGCTGAGTCCTATATTGTGACACAGGATGGAGATGAGGACAAGAAGAGAAGCAGGTGGGTGGCCCAGTACTGGGCTCAGGCTGACTCCCTCACACCCCCTTGCTTCTTCATGAAACTACAGAATCCCAGAAATCTAAACCTGAACAGGATCTTGCTAATGGTTACAAAGATGTTGGTCAGGGTTGGAAGATGAACGTTTGTTGTGTAATGTGTTAAATGCTCAGGTCCAAAAGATGTGTGGCTAGATTTACACTCTGAATTTGGACTTCCTATGCTAGATGAGGTCTACAGACAGGACCAGGGTCCCAGGCTGTGAGCTTTTACGGGAAGACCCCTTTAACAGAGCTGCAGAGGATGGGGGATAGTGTGCAGCAGGCTTCCAGAAGCTGTCCCTATCTCTAACCTAGAGAGGCACTGACAGGAAGGGGGTGCTGATTGGACTAAATCAGGGAGGGGCTGATGGAATCCAACTGTTTTGCCAACTATGAGTCACCATCACAAACACCCCTAGCTTGCGGAGAAGGGATGTGGAATGTTGAGCAGGGTGGGAGGGGTGGGTATCACAACCTTTACGCAAAGGCTGGCAGGTTGGGAATGGAACCCAGTCCAGGATACAGCAGCCTGGCAGCTGTCCCACTGTGGGCCCTGTCATAGTGTCTATAGTATAGTATAGCAGAAGCTTGGTGAGCCCTTGGCCTTCCTCAGAATGGAGTGTCTAGTGGGACACTTATGTCCCTTAAATTATTTTTGTGTATGTGTATGCCATGTGTGTGCTGGTGCCCTCTGAAGCCAGAAGAGGGTGTCAAATCCCCAAGAGCTGGAATTACAGGCAGTTGTGAGCTGCCTGACATGGGTGTTGGGAACTGAACTTGGGTCCTCTGAAACAGTAGCAAATGCTCTTAACTACTGAGCTATCTCTCCAGTCCCTGTTCCCTGGATTTAGTATGTAAGTTTTATAATTAATTATTTTAAATTTTTTGAGACAGGGTCTCACATAACCCTGTTTTGCTTAGAAAACGTTGGGTTGCTAAGTATGGCCTTGAACTCTGGATCCTCCTGCCTTTACCTCCCAAGTGCTGGGATTGCATGCTTGTATCACTGTGCCTTATGAAGGAGTGGGCTGAGTGCATTGTGAATGCTGGCACATTCCATCTCCAAGCCAGGAACAGTGGTTCACACCTGTAGCCCCAGCCCTGGGGAAGTTGGAGGAGAAAGAACAGGAGTTTGAGGCCAGCCTGGGTTACACGAAATTGTCTCCAAAAATCAAAGAACAAAACCAAATAAATAAACACTGTATTTCCAATGTCCATCTCAGGACTGGATTTATTAGTCTCGTCTTTAATTAGGTTTTGTCTGCATGCATGTAAGTGCACCTCTGCATGCAATGCTGCAGAGGCCAGATGAGAACATCGAATTCCCTGGACCTGGAGTTATGGACTGTTGGTACTGGCCTTGTGGGTGCTGGGAACTGAACCGGGGTCCTCTGCAAGAGCAATCAGTGCTCTTAACAACACTGAGCCATCCCTCCAGTCCCTCTTCCCGGTTTTTTGAAACAGACTCTCATGCATCCCAGGTTAGCCTCAAACTTGCTATGTTGTTAAGGCCTACCCAAAAGTCCTGATCCTCCTGACTCTACTTCCTGAGTGCTGAGGTACAGGTGTGAGCTACCACACCCAGCTATTAGCTCCTTTTTAAGGGCTCATTCTAAGTACCTTGCTTTGTCCTGGGTTGCAAAGCTGCCAACTTTAATGTGTTTCATCTGTGTCCAACAGTAATTTTCAAACTATAGCCTGATTCAGAGCCACCTGGAGCCCTTGTGAAAACCAATTGCTGCAGTATCTTACTCAGTTGGTCTGAGATGGGGCCCACAAAGGAGGTCCCAAGGTGTTGGTAGTGCTCCTGTGAGGACGGAGCTTTGAGAGTCACTGGGCAGGGCTGGGATCCAACTTGCCACTGGCTTCCACTCCTGCGAAGCTGGCACAGTAATACCCTCCCCACAGTGGCATTGTTTTGAGATGCCAGGGAGATAAAGCACAGGGGAGAGCTTTGTCAGCTCCCAGGCTAATGGCCCTGGTCATTAACCTGGTAACCTGCGGAAGGCTGGTCCACAGTCTGAGAGTGAGAGGCTGCGATGCAGACTTGGGCATCCAGACATCTGGCGATCTTCAGCAGCCCACCTTCTCTACGGAGAAGCCAGCCATGGAGGGCTCGGGCCTGCAGCCCCCTCCTGCCACACCCTCAATAGCCGGCTCCAACCACAGCTGGTTAGCTTGGGCCACTTTTCCCAAGGCTAGTCTAGGCACGTTGGGGCAAGCTCTCAGTCCATGATTCAGGACTTGGGGAATGAATCCAGCTCACCACCGCCTCCACGGTGAGACTGTAGCCCACGGCTTTCCTTTTCTAAAGCTTAGGTTGCGCATCTGTAAAATGGGTGCAATATTGAGTACCCGGGGAGTGGTGGGAACTCAAGGGTCAGGACTTTTATAGCTCTTGGCACACAGCCTGGCTCCTCTGAGCAAGAGTTCAACCAATTTTAACTGTTGGTATTTTCAGAAAGGGCTTGGGCCCAGGCCGCCTACAGAGGCCGTGACTTGTAACGCGAACGCTCCCACACCGTTCCCGTGATGCACCCGGGTACGTCAGCCCTGGAATGCCAACGTGGGGGCTCCAGGCCTACGGCCCTGAACCGGGGTTGCCAGGGAGGACAGGATCTGGGAGGTGCTGAGAAGCCCCGAGGAGGGCGGAGCTGGGGCGTGGCCTCCCTGTTGGAGCGGGTGGGCCCCAGAAGAAAGAGATGGAGGTGGGAGCGATGGGAGGGCCTAGGAGGACCGCTGCCAGCCCGGGAAGGGACTGGGAAGGATGAGCGAGGTCACAGGGGGCGAGACCTTTAGGCTGTAAGTGGGCGTGGTTCTGGGGAGACACTGGAGCGGCCAAATTAAAGACCAAGGATAGGGGTCTGGGGGTAGCCCCATCCCCCCTACAGCGACCTGAAGGCGAGGCGGAATAAGGGGCGTGGCCTCTCCTCTAGGCTGTAGTGGGCGGGGATTGGTCTGCTAGGAGCTGGGATGAGGGATGTAAGACTGCAGACACAGCTAGAGAGGGCCAGAGAAGGGCAGCCTAGGGGGCGTGGTCTCAGGGAACGGGGCTGGCCGATTGGACTAGGAGACAGTAGTGGGCGGAGTCTGGTCCAGGCTGTTTCCAGCCGGGTGGGGGGGGGCGGAGCTGGAGGACTAGAGCTGGGTTGCTAGGGGGCGTGGTCTCAAGGGGATGGGGCTGGCCGATTGGACCAGTCGGCAATGCTAGGCGGACCCTGGTCCTAATGGGAGAAAGGCAGGGCAGCATGGGGGTGTGTCCTGGGCGGGTCTCGGGGGCGGGGCCTGTCGATGCCGTTGCGCTCTTGTACAGCCTCCAGAGGGGCGGGGGACAGTGGAGGGACCGAGCCCAGCGAGGCACAGAGACGCCCGGACGGACCTGAGGCGTGGAGCAAGAAGCTGAGGCAGCAGGTAAGAGGCGCCTGGGGGAGGCTTGCGGGACAAGCGGAAGCGAAGTTAGTTTCGCCCCGACTTCTGCAGTCCTCTGGAAAGCCTTTCTGGCAACAGGTAGCAGGCCAGAGCAGTTGGTAGCTGAGAAAAAGCTTTAGACCCCCGAGTCCCAACCCCCCTAGTTCTGCGCCATACACCAACCCTGTGGTCCTGGGCCAGTCCTGACCCGCAGCTCCAGACTTATCGGGTTCTAGGAGGAAGTTGATCCAGGTGAACCCGGTGCTCCCGGTGGCGGTTTCTCACCAATATCCCGGAAGGTGAGGACTGGCAGGTGACAGGCACCGCAGTGAGACCACCGCACTGCTTCACCACAGCTTCTCTAACAAAATGCAGCTGAGGGAAGCGACTTGTTTTAAAGTCACATTGGGTCCTCGGATGGGGATCCAGCCTCTGAGCCCCAGGAAGGGAGCCCAAAGCAGAGCGGTTTGCAGTCTTTCCCTCCTCCTTCCAACTTCTGAGCATTCCACTGAACTGGGCCCCCTGAGACTTGAAGTGGAAACTTAGTGGGACTTTTACAGGTGAGCTAGTGAAGAGCTCCCCCAGTGGAACGGTGCAGGGAGCAATTCTCTTACAGGGTGGATGGAGAGAAGGGAAAACCCCACCAAACCTGTTTAGAGCCAAGCCCTGGAGTTCTCTGGTGTGCCCAGGGTTAGGTATCTGGGTTGAAGGGCCCTGTTCCTGGTGGTGGTGGGTGTCTTGGTGGGTTCTAGCCTCCCAAAAGAGGCTTTGGGACCCAGCCTCCTTCAAATTTCAGCTTCCTCCTTTGTAAAATGAGGGCAATGACCAAACCAAACAGTAGTAAAGAGAACTGGATAGAATGGTTGTGGGTTATGGGTTGCATGTCATGCCTAATGAGATGCCAGCGCCCGGAGGACTCACCGCACAGCTCTGTAACATGAATGGGCAAGGTGAGGTGCTGCCTGGGTTTGGCTTGGTTTGCTGCAGCTCTTCTTGACCTGGTGAAAGCCAGACGGTAGCACCAACCACCATCATCACTCTGTTCACTTGGGGGTCAGACAGTATGTCACTTGGACTTACAGAGTGTTTGAGTTTGTAACATTGCTTAAACCAAAAACTGGTTAATGAGCTCATACCACATACAAGAGACTTCCTCATCCCCACCATGCCCTTTGCTAAAGAGGCTTCCTTAGAGTCTGGGCCAATTCAGAGAAGAGCACAGGCATCTGTGCACTCTGGTGATTGGAACTGGCTCTTTCACTGCAGGCTCAGTATAGGTGAGAGGCAGGTCAGCTGGAAAGTGCCCTAGAAAGCCTGGTGGAAGGCTGGGTCATGTGGAGAAGACTGTCAAGTGAGGAGGCATTGGGAATCAGTGAGATATGGAGGAGCTGGGGCTGGTGGCAGGGGGTGAGGCTTGGGCAGGACTTTCCACCTGGGCTCCCCAGTCTTGGATCCATGTGAGGCTACACACTCCCTGGTCCTTGCATTTCAATGATGAGGGTTTGGTACAGTGGGGAGGGAGAAGGTTTAGTAGGCAGTGCCCATGGTTGGAAGACGCTCACTGCCAACCATGCCTCCTGTGCACCTAATGGGAGCCCCTCCACCCCCATGACCACCCTGCAACATGAAGGTCAAGCAACAACAGGACACAGGGTTCTCACCCTTGTATTGCTTAGCATCTGGGAAGGGGCTCAGACAAGTATACCAGGGGCTGTGATACAAGATACATGAAGGATCAGAGGAAACTTTGGGGCCTCAAGGACTGGAAAGCTTGGGCAGCCAGAGTGAAGATGGTATTTTAGACAAAGGAAAATGCTCAAAGTCAAGGTCAGCCTGTTGAGAGAGCCCTCAGGACAGTGGTAGGTTGGTCAGTCTAGCTGAAGCTGGGGTCTGCGAGGCAGGCAAAATAGGAATGGTACATGGAATCAGCTCAAGGACAGCTTGGAATATCAGGGGGAGAAAATTAAGCTTGAGTTATAGAAAGTGGGAGCCAATGAAGGTTTTAGAGCAGGGAAGGGAAATGACACAAAGAATGCAGTATAGGAAAAAGAAAATAAAGGACTGTGTGCCAGATATACTAGGTATAGGACTCATCGGGTATAGAAGGCTTTGGTGAGTGACAGAAGAGGCTACAGGATAGAAAAGGTACCCCCAGAGAGAGATAGCTGGGATGGGCCAGGAAGAACAGTCCAGCTATGCTTCACCCTCAGGACACAATGAGAGCTCATGAAGGTGACTGGGCTGAGTCACAGGGAGATCACCCCTTCTGGAGGATGAATATTATCCAGTAATGGGGTGGTAGCCCCCAAGAAGAATATGTGTTCATCCATGAAGGGGAAGAGTCTGGGCTGATGTAAGCCTGAGCCAGCTGATAGTGGGTAACCAAGCAGGATGGGTGGGAAAAGTACCTGGGCTTCCCCACTTACTCTGGGGAGGGCAGGGGTGAAAGGTCAGCCATGCATTATCTGGGCACAAATTTCCTACAAGGGGTGGATTTTGGTTCCCTGGGGCTCCTCTGAAGTGTCTGCCATGTAGGGACAGCCCCTTCTTTTTAAAAAGGAAGCTCCCATTGGCCGGAACCCTCTCCACCCTGGGGACCTACCCCTGTCCCTTGTGGACTTGACAGGGGTCCTTCCTGGCACCTGACCCAGCAGTCTGAGCCCTGAACATTGCTTTGGATTTGGGGCATCTGGGGCAAGGGGGCACCCCTGTATTGAGCTTGGCCTTAGCCTCTTCTCTAAACCGTTATGCCCACTTCCTCTGCCTTGTAGGAAGCTGGGGGGCAGTTCTGATATAATCAAGAGCATTAAATAGCCAGGATTTGGCTCTGCAAGAGGCAGCTGTCAGAAAGGGAGGGGAGAACTCAGGCTGTTTGACTTGGGCCCCTTTGTGGGACAGGATGGGGTTGGGGCAGGAGCCAGTTTAATCTCAACCGGAACCAGCCAGTTTGGGTCTGAGAGGCCTGAAGGGGAAGCCCAGAGGTAAACAGGCCTGAGTGGTCTGTGTTGTGTGCTTTCCTCCCTTGGCCTCTGATGCTGTCCCTCTGAGGAGTCCACCCTGAAGCTAGTGCCCCGCAGGGCCCAGCTGTGGTCTGTCCAGTTGGCTTGCTCCCCATTCACTCCTGGGATTCCCCCTGACCATAGTGGGTTTCCTGTCAGCAGCTGACACACACAGGGCTGACACACAGAGCAGCTGAGAGAAACAGAGGCCTGGGTTCTGGTCTTGCAGTGAGGCCTAGCTCTGCCCTTTGTCCACTGTTTGAACACAGATATGTTCCTTCTCCTTTCTGAGCATCCCTTCCCAGCTCAACTGCTGACTTGGTTTTCAGGAGGCTCTGGGATGTAAAAAGCATGCATGTGGGAATGCATGCTTTTCCCTTATTTGTACACACTTACACACACACACACACACACACACACACACACACACCCACACACACACACACACACACACACACACACACACATGCACTTGCACACACTACAGTCTCAACACAGTGGGCTGAGCGATGCCCTCAGTCTGAGTACTTGTCCTGCCTCCTCCTCTTGTAACCTTGCCCCTCCCTTCTGCCTGGCAGGACTCAGGGTGATGGTATATTATGGTGGTCCAGTGTTGTACTCCGGAGCTCCTAGGTCTGTGACCCTTTCTGAGCCTCTGTTTCTGAATGTGTAAGATAAGGATGATAATAGTAATTACTTCGTGGGCTGGCATGAGGACACTGCAAACACTTGTGAAACCCTTAGCACTTAGAAATGTGGCACAGGGCAGATGTTGTGTGACTGAGGGCTGTGGTCAGTGTCTGCAGCTGAGTGGCTCATTCCAGCCCCATTTAGGGACCTTCCTCAGTGTGCCTGCTGCTCAGGCCTTCTGGGCCTCCCCAGTATGCTTATGTGTGGGCCTCAAGACACTAGTCATTTCCAGCTGTGGGATGCTCCTTGGTGCTTTCTGGGGGTACCTGGGTCTCCCCAGCATCACTTAGCTTCTCTCCTTTGGTCCTGCTGCTTTGTGGCATACAGAAGCCTCCTGGGCAGGGGCTACCCTGTCTATTCCTGTGTCTTGTCCCCAGTGGGCACTTGGGAAATGATGTTTGAATGAATAAGGGATTGTCTTTGGGAGACTTTAGCAGTACGCAGCTCCATGGGAGATCCTCAGTGACTCAAGAGGTAGCTCCAGGAAACAGGGCCTATTACCTCGATCCAGGAAGGAGGGTGGACTGCCTGGCCTTCATGGTTTCAGTTAGGACTTCCACTTCCCTACGAAGCCTGGCCTTTAGCTGGCAGAGGGGAACAGTGACTTCCTCTAACCTTGTGGCCCTTAGTGAACCCTGACTCAACCAGAAAAGGCGACTTCCCAGTAGCAGCTGTCAGTGGGCTGTGTTAATGTGAGTGGAACTGGGCTGAGGAGTGAGAATGTGCCCTCCAGGTTGCCCAGTTAGAATCATCTACAGATTCCCTGGGAAGTTCCAGGCAGCCTTCTCTCTTCTCTAGCTCTTGGCCTGCACTGCAGTTTTTGTGCAGCCTTGAGGCTCCATCACAGCCTTCCTGGCTGTGCTGCAGGTCCTGCATTGAGTGGTTCAGAGTTCTGAGCCTGGGGTCTCAGGGCTGATAAGACAGGTAGACAGAGTGCTGGAGAATGGACATTTGGGCCTGGATTGTGGAACTCCTGAGGGACCTTGCCTGAGGAGAGAACGTTTGGCTGGTTTTCACACTTCAGGCAGCATATTCCAGAAGCTTGTCAAGGGCCCCTGCTTGGATTCTAGTGAAGGTCAGAGAGTTGGGAATCAAACTACCTGAGGATGCTGACCATTGATGCTGCTTACCAGCTGGTGGAGACCTTGGAAAAGAGATCTGTACCCCTGCTGTATCAGCAGTAGTACCTGTGTAAGGGACAGTCTGAGTTGGCTTTCAGTATCTGCTGTGTATTAGTTACTTTTCTCATTGCTATGACAAAATACCCGAGGGGGAACAATTAAGGGAGGAAGGTTTATTTTGGCTCAGTTTGAA